TGAGCTAACCAATCTCAACTCTTTAGTATGTTGGAATCACTTGACTTCTAGAACAATGCAGACTTTCTATGATGTAATCCAGGTTTTTGGTGAATCTTGGTTTTTCGTGACTTCCAAGTCTATGTACTGTATATGTATAGGTAAAGGTAAAGGTTCCCCTTGACAATTTTTGTCCAGTCGTGTCCGACTCTAGGGGGCGGCGCTCGTCCCGCTGTTCAAGCCATAGAGCCAGCGTTTTGTCCGAAGACAATCTTTCCGTGGTCACATGGCCAGTGCGACTTAGACACGGAACGCTGTTTACCTTCCCACCAAGATGGTACCTATTTATCTACTCGCATTTGCATGCTTTCGAACCGCTAGGTTGGCAGGAGCTGGGACAGGCGACGGGTGCTCATTCCGTCGTGTGGATTCGATCTTATGACTGCTTGGTCTTCTGACCCTGCAGCACAGGCTTCTGCGGTTTAGCCCACAGCACCACCACGTCCCTTACTGTATATGTATATGTCTCTGTATATTGCTAGAGAGAAGGAGGGAGAATGAATATTCCTGTTGCCGTATATGTTGGGGACAGGAAAGTGGGCAGTGGAAAGGCTGAATGGGCCATGAGGGGTGGAGGGAGAGGAGGAATGCTCAGCAAAACCCCCCATGCCTGCTGATGCCCTTTTACACCATTAGCAGGCCTAGATTCCTAACTTTCATTTGAAAAGAGAGTAAGGGATGTAGATGCACTACATTTACACATCAATTTCATGCCACTTTAATTGTAATGGTCTCATCTTACAAAATCCTGGGATCTGTAATTCGATGACATATTTAGACCATACGAAGACACCCTGTGAAAAGATGGACTGAGGATTAAATCAGTTCACTTCTGCCATGTAGAGTGGCTTTCAAATGACCTTGATAATTATAATTTAGGGAATAATGCATTAGAGCTGTCTAGTAGAGAATTCTAAGTACTTTGTTGAGCTAAGGAACACCAGGAATCCTTAAGAGGAGCAATAACTATTACAGTTCTGTGAAACCAGTTTAGCTACTTCTGATGTCTCTAGACTGTGTAGCAGCAAAGATATGAAAAAGAATCTGCAGTCACAATTTTGCACTGTTGTTCTGCAAGGAACCAATATGGTGTTGTCTGTAACCAATGAGTGAAGTCACAACTGTGATTGACACCACAGGTTTAAAACTATGGACAGACCCCTTGAGCTCTGCACTACCTATGTATATGCATATGAGATCAGCATCCACAGCAAAGAAGATTGCTGTTAGAAGGTTGAAGTGACAGCCCTCAACTGTGAATGCTAGAACAGCCAAAGAATGTGTTACAAAAGGTTAATTTTCATATTTTGCAGTCACATGTTGATATGATAGCGCTAAGTGGGTTTGACTGCCTGGCTCCAAAGCTAGGAGCCATGATTTCATATCTCCACGGTGCCTCCTCGAGCAGGTTTCATTGAGACTCCCGGCGGAGTGTGTAGCAGGTGGGGGTTAAGTGCCCTGCCGCCTGTGTGGCCCTGGGCAAGCTATATGGCCCAAAAGCACCACCAGAAGGAGAGACTGATAAACCACTTCTAAGTATTTTATATATAGAAAATCCTGGGGGTGTCATCATAAACTGGCATTGACTTAGCAGCATTATAATTATTAATGACATGTTGCATGTCTGGGGAGAGAGGATAAAAATGTATGTATGGGGAGAGAAGGGGAAGAGAGGAGGAAAGGGAATGGGGTGAGATTAGGTTCTCCTTTTTGAGCTCCCTATTCAGAGGAATAAAAGGTCAGTACAGTTTTAAACCTATATGGCCAATTGTGACTTCACTCATCGGCTAAGCATGCACAGTAACAGCCTTTGCCCCAATGGCAAAACCATTGGGTGAAGTAGCAACCTGCAGGTTTTGCCCTCAGATCTCAGCGTTTTTCTACAAAGGTGACAGGCCTCAGGTATAGGTATATTATATTCATGACACAGCTATATCAGCCATGTTCAAGGTCTCAAAGTAGCTTCTCAGCTTCTTTCAGTTGGAGCCACACCTCAACCAGTGACCCTCTAAACACCAGTGATTCCCACACCTCGGGTGCCCAGATGTTACTGGATTACAACTTCACCACTAGCTGTGGCCAGTACAGTATAGCTAGTGATGAAGGCTGTTGGGAATTTTAATCTAAGAACATCTGGGGATGCAAGGCTGGGAACCACTGGATGAGAGGAAGATGGGATGAACTGCACCAGCCTGTGGGCTACAGTATCTGTGACAGGGTCAGGGGGAAGAAAGGGGCTGGTCTTACCTACATCCCCCTTCAATAGCAGGAAATCAAGGGACACCGTACCGGTGTTGTATGCTGTCTGTATACTGGATAATTTACAGTGGCATAAGTACTATCCCATGGGCAGTTCTCTATGTCAGCACTTTTTTATAAAAAATCTTTTTAAAATACAAGCAACCTTATGTCACATCTGTTTTGTCCCTAATAACATTTTGCTTCTGCTATTGTGTTACTCACAATGAAGCCATGGATGCTGTCAAAATATATGTGTCCTTCCTGACAGTGCGAGGTTACATTGAGATTTATATACCACCTAGAATGTTTACTTTGCCACCTGAGGCTTACAGAAATGTAAAATCCATTTCCGTTCATTTACACGGTGGAAGCTTGGCACGACTCAGACTCATTTCCAAGCAGGGCAAGGACAAAAGAGATGCTCAAAAATTAAAGACCGCCAAGATACAGACAGAGGAGATGCAATGTATACGATAAATTACATCTGAGGGGGAAAAAACACAACTGCTGTTAAATAATTTGCCATGAATATGTTTAGTTAAAATATAAGGCTTCGTCTGCTTTAATGAAAATTCAGGGACTGTTCCCAAGTGAGCAGCCATAGCAATGGAACACAGTATTTCTCACTGGCAATAGCCCATAAAACATTCATGGTTATGTAATAGTATTAGGGTTCTTATTCTTTTCAAAGTGAAGCTGCTATTTATTTAGTTCGATTTATGAAATTTTGCTAAGGCACACTTTAGTGATACAGACCTTTTTAATATATGTATAGCAATACATTTAACCAAACTTGCAAATGGAACTTGTCTATGGCAACAGAATCTCCTCTGTTTATGTTGCTGATCAGATGCAGTCAGTGGGGACAAGGAATTGTGACACTCGCGGTCTGATCTCAACTGTTCCTTGCGGTCTGCAAGCACAGAGGTCCCAATCCAGCACTAGCTTGTTCATGACCACCCAGTAACATGTAAGAGCTGATTGGTATTGTGAGCCAAATGTGAAGCATTGTGAGTACGTGTATTGTGATGCAGGAGGCAAATGCGGGAAGCAAGATTACCTAGAGCTGATAGAAATGTGCAGGCAGACAGACATTGTGGTGGAGATGAGATGGTGTGATCAGATGAGTACTGCAGTGCAAATGTGAATGTACACCCAGATGATGTGATTTCAGGTGTAAGTGCACAATCAGAGGTGATCACAGATAGGACACGCCTGCTTCCACACATGGATCTGACTTGCTAGACAGAAGAGCAGCCTCTTTTTTCAAAGAGAAAACATTAGGAATCTGATTTTAAGGATTTGGCTGTATCAGGAACTTATGTTTTCTGTCATGTAGATTTTCCACATCTGCTGCAGTTTGAGGGGGGATCTTATGGGGGAGGCAGGGAGGGAATGCTGTCTGGTATACCGCTGTGGAGCAAACACCCTCTTTATTATCTTGATGGCCACCTGTCATA